AGAGAGAGAGAGAGAGAGAGAGAGAGAGAGAGAGAGAGAGAGAGAGAGAGAGAGAGAGAGAGAGAGAGAGAGAGAGAGGCGGGACTGCCCTCGGGCCTTTGTGTTTCGTTCGTATCAGCATATGCTTATGACCACTTCTCCTTCTATGCCTGATTCATGATGTTCATCCAGAATCGACCACGGCAAAATTTGTCATCACGTTATTCCATTACGAACTTTGGCAGCGAAAAAAGAAAAAGAATCATGATAATCAATCAATCAATCAATCAATCAATAGGAATCATGATAACACATCAATCAATCGATCATATCAATCAATTAATCAATCGATCGCTCAATCAATCCATTGATTAATCAATCTATCAATCAATCTATCAATATCTCAGCATAATCCATGCCCCAAGCAGAGGAGTAGGGGTTCGGGAGAGAGAGAGAGAGAGAGAGAGAGAGAGAGAGAGAGAGAGAGAGAGAGAGAGAGAGAGAGAGAGAGAGAGTCGCTAGCAGCCATGGGCGCAGGTCCACCTTTGTTCCAATATGTGTGTGTGCATATATGTGTCTGCATGGTGATAGCAGTTCGAGTTTCGCCGCGTGCGGAACCGCGGTGGGTCCATTTTATTTTTATTATTTTTAAAAATTAAAAAAACAAGCCAACGACCTTGAGGTATTACTGGTACTATCATTGAACTGACCGGGCCCAGGTACTTCAGAATTATTTTAATTTTTTAATTATTATACTCCATTCATCTGGTTCCATCTGGATTGGAACTCAGGTCTGTATGTCAACAGGTGATGGGTGTACCAACTTCTTTAGGCTTTAGGTCCTTCGGCTGGTGCGTTTTCACACTCGTTCCTCTCTTGCCAATGTGAAGGCAAGCATACTCACACGCGCACTTTTTTGACTGAGCTCTGGACGTGATTGCAGTTTAGATGCATCCAGGTTTGGTCGTATTGAAGTCGGATGCATTTAAAAAAAGCGGTAGTGTGAGTATGTCATTATCTCTCTGCCGTTTGCTGAGAGCAGTGTGGCAATTTGTGTCTTGGGGGGGTCTACGCTCTTCCATCCCTGCTCTCCGCGCTCCTTCTCTACCCTAACTCCGCCTTCTCCCTTTTTTTCTTTTTTTGGGTCGCTTCTCCCTTGTCGTCCCATTACTGCTCATAACGCCTTTTCTTCTCTGTTCTTCGCGTTTGCCTTGTCCATTCTCCACAACAACTTCTATCCATCGCTCTTCTCGCCGCTGTTTTTTTTTTTTTTTTTTTGAATTTTATTTTTTATTCTGCCATTTCTCTCCTCCCTTCTCGTCTCCTCACAACAGTTCTCCCATCCTCCTCTCTCCAATTCGCTGTTTTTCCACGTGTCAATCTCTGC